TTTTTTTTAAAAAAGAAAAGGTCCTTAGTTTAACGTTTCGGAGGAGTCCGGGACTTCAGGGAGGCCAGTTTGGTCTTTAAACTTTAAAGGTAAGTCCTTACCTTTACCATTGACCCCTTTATTTATTAATTACACTTATATCCCGCCCGCCCTGCCATATGGCGGCTCAGGGCGGCTAACCATGTAATAAATATACATTAACATTCCAATAAAACTATCACTATAAAATCATACTGTTTAGACATAATTTACAGTAAAAGATGGTGATCTTCTGATATCTACTGTGCACTGAATGGTGTCATCAAACTCCCGCCTGGCTATAAAGCCTCAGTTGGTGGGGCTGTTGGTACAGTTGGCAATCGGGCCAGGGCCATAAAATCGAGGCGGCACCCTACTTAAAAGCCTGGCGGAAGAGCTCCATTTTACAGGCCCTGTGGAACTGCAAAAGGTCCCGCAGGGCCCTGATGTCCTCTGGGAGCTCGTTCCACCAGTGAGGGGCTGCCACCGAAAAGGCCCTGGCCCTCGTTGTAACCAACCTGGCCTCTTTAGGCCCCAGAAGAACCAGGCAATTTTGGGAGCTCAACGTGCAGCTGCCACACAGAGAATGCTTCAAGCAACTTTCCACATGGCCGTCATAACTTGTAGAAGTCAAAGATGGGGGAGAGAGTGTGTGTGTGTGTGTTTACATGCCAACCGCAAGCTGATTTTTAAAAATAATTTTATTTTCCATTTTTCATTCACAGAATTAAAATAAAAGCATTCTAGTTGAAAATATTATACATTTCTCAACATATAATTCCTCTTTTGCTAATACATCAAGTGCTAAATACTAGCATATTCATTCTCTATTATCTAATTTTTTTTCTATCTTTAGCCAGTCATATATTATTCCCCATCTATCCCAAAAGATCTTTTCTGATTTATTTTGTAAGTTAGTATTCAACTTGTCAATTTCTGCTATTTCTAGGATTTTAAATTCTGTTATAGAGGGTAGATTTTCTGATTTCCATCTCTTTGCTATGAGTATTCTAGCTGGTGTTAGTATGTATATTATTATATGTCCATGTTATTTTACTGTATCCGGTAACATATTTAATAGACAGATTTCTGGCGTTAATGGAATATTAATTTTTAAAATCCTTAAAAATATTTTTGGATTTTTTGCCAAAAACTCTGGATTTTAATACAAGTCCACCATATATGAAGGTATGAACCTGTATTCCTTCTACACCTCCAACATATTTTGGATGCTCTTGGAAAACACCTTACGATTTTTACCGGTGTCCAGTGCCACCTATATAACATTTTATAAATATTTTCAGTGTATGGGGTTGCCCTCAAGTATTTTATCGTTTTCCACGTTTTTGCCCATTGCTCTGTGTCAATTGTATGTCTGATCTCTTTTACCCACGCTATCATATATGTTTTTATCATTTCTTCTTGAAATAAATCCTCCATCAGTTTCTTATAAAATTTCTGGATTAGTTTATCGCTTGACGATAACCAAATCTTATCAATCTCATTTAAACTCGTATAAAACCCTATTTTTTATCTTCATTATACCTTACTTTTGGTACATTTTTTTCCCACCAAGATATTTTGTCGTATTAGTAACTCCTCAGACTTCAACTCTCTTTTTTCATTTAATAGATTGCCATAACTTTGTTTCGTTTCCCCCATTATTGTAGACGGTTTGGCAAAAGCCTCTAACAGTGATACCCACATAGGCACTTTAGTATAGGTTTTGTCTTTTACTATATTCCAGACTTTAATGAGAGATCTTCTAATGATTTGCATATGGAAATTGGAATGGATTTTGTCCTTTCCATACCATAGATAAGCGTGCCAACCCATTACTAAGTCAAATCCCTCTAGAGCTAATGTTGTTACATCTTCCAGTGAGGCCCAATCTTTGATCCATGTCATAACGGCTGCATAATGATATAATTGCCAATTCGGCAAATCAAAGCCTCCCGTTTCTTTGGTACTCTGAAGATCTTTAAGTTTAATCCTAGGTTTTTTGGATTGCCAAATGAATTTCCCTACAGCTCTCTCCAGGTCTTTAACGTATTGGTATTTTTTAACTATTGGGAGATTTTGGGCCAGGAACAGGAATCTAGGTAATATATTCCTTTTAATCGTCGCTATTCTACCTAGTAGTGACCGGTGTATTTTATCCCAACGCTTTAAGTCTTCCTTTATAACTTTTAAGAGATGTAGGTAATTGTCTTTTTTCGTTTTTTGTCTTTTTTGATTTTTGTTTTGGGAGGGAAGACATGTTCTCATTTACCCTCATATCTCTCTCCTCAAACGGGAGGGTATGGGAGATCATAGTGCAAGCTCAGCCATCCTGTACTGGCTACTCTTTTGAACTACTGTTAGCACTCCAGTCATGAATCCAGGGAGTGTTGAAGTCAGTCAACATGCTTCTCATATTAAGGCTCAACCCTGGGTTGATGTTAAAATATAAAGACAAAATTAGCCAGATCTTATGTTGGGGCATATGAGGTAGGATGTGTCACCACCACTCTTCCTCATATGGGGCAGACTGCCCATTAAACTCAATGGGAAATTCCCAATGGGCCATTACTTAGAAAGTCACCTCTCCCTGAGATCCCTCCAAGCTCAGTTCACCCTCACTCCATGGGGCACTGCCTCAACCTTGCTTGGCTCCCAGCTAGGCCAGGCTGGCTGCTGAGCCTTTGCCAACTGACCTATGCACAACCTTGCCTTGCCTTAGGGCCCATACCACTTCTGTGCAAATAATGAAACACGCAAAAATAAAGCAACAGCACAGCTATGGAAAGCATATTATAACACCAAGGAAACAAGCTGCGAAAGAAGCAGAAGAAGGGGCAGCAGGGTCAGGGGCCACAATCACTATAATGAGCTTTCCAGGGGGCCATTTTATCCACCAGTCTGCCCCATCCTCATATGTGTGCATAGATAGGTAGGAAACCCCTGGTTAATGCAAAATAGAACCCCTGAAACTGACAAGACGTCTGTCCATCCCTTATTTCTTTTTCAGTCTCATCCTTCAGTTTCCTCAGAACTGTTTTATTCAAGAAGCATAGTACCATGTGGAATTAAAACTGGCAAGAGATTTTAGAATAACCTGAGGAAAACTAATAATCTTAAACAAATAAATGTTTTATATAGGGAAAACATAACATAAGTTCAGGCATACAAAGACATAAAAATTACACGCTAACACAGATAAAATATTGACAGCGTGGGGATTGGAAATGCTCTAGGTCAGGAAGTAATGTTTTCAGAAATTTGCCTAATGCTTGTGAAGGTAGTTCTTTTCTCCTCTTTTCAACAGTACCACTCACTGCCACAATGAATCTTGCAAGCAGGTACCAACAGGTAAACCCAGGGGTCATTTCCTGCAGGAGCGCACAGGAGTGGAGCTCCGGCATTAAAGAGCCCAGGGGGTGGGCACATGCAAGAAGCCCCGCCCCCTGCTCCCAGCAGCCCTGGGCCACAAGGAGCAAGAAGCAGCCAAGTAAATTGCAGAGCCCCCCCATAGATAGCAATCCAAAACAGTCCAGTGGCACCTTTCAGACCAAGTTTAATTCAGGTACAAGCTCTCTCTCCTCTGTGAGGGCAGATCTGTGCGCTTCCCCCCCCCCCCAATAGCTAGCAATTCAAAACAGTCCAGTGGAGCCTGAGCGGTGGGCGTTGCCTTCTGACACACTTCCGCTGATGGCAGGGGGTGTGGCATAGGCAAATATGTTATGCTTGTGAGTTATGATAATGAACTCCTGCACCTCTTTTTCTATGAAATGACCCCTGGGTAAACCCTATATTCCCTGTGCCTTTGAAAACTGCTTCAGTTTTTACAGGAAGAAAGATCAATTTCAAGTACTGATATAGTTAGTGACATCAGAAATCCAGAGCTTTTGAATAAATTGACAGCATTTTGCTTATCGTTTCAGGATAATCTGGTTTACCCGTTTAATCCCAGCTGGAGGCCAGGAGTGGGGGACTAGGTGGCATGTGGGAGACACCAAACTGGATAGCAACGTGATCAAATGGTGTTGGGTTTCCATACACATTTCAGAGTAAAGGTTGTCTCCATTTAGAACTTTACCGCTTTTAATCTAGCAGGCCTGATGCTGCAGAAAATGGCTCTACTATGGTCAACATTAAAAAAAACACAAGTATTGTTCCTCAGGTCTTTCCTGCTCCTTTTTCAAATTCTATCCAGTTAATCACATATTACACCCCCTACTTCTGGAATAAGCAAGACCTGGAACTGTGCCTCCTGCTGCCTGGAAGCCCACCATGACTGATACCCTTTCTCCCCTCCAGGGATATACCATAACCAGGCTGTGTAATATTCCTTGTGTTTTTAACTTAGTCATAGAAGCTGGTGTCCAGTACAGAATCTAACATCCTGGAAATATATGCTTTTTTTTTTTTAAGTCTCCACTCAAAGAAGCTGTTAAAAAAATTATAATGTGTGGGCAGCGCCTGGTGCAATATCCGAAGGAGCCGAGCAGAGCTTCATATCTTTCCCAACAGCCTCTCTGTGCCTGCCCTGCCTCCCAGCAGCCCACCTCTCTTCACTTACCAGGCCCCTTTTCTCCTTTAATTTCCCCTGTGCTTGCCAAAAGATTTCAAGTGCTCTGAAAATCAGAATAACTTCGTACATATCTGCAAATGTCCACAATTTGCTTCAGGGTTATTTTTTTTTTGCCTCAGAATCTAGATGTCTATGATGCAGAATTTGGACTACCACTTTTTCTTTTCATTTTTTAGCACAACCCAGCACTGCCTGTGGTGTGTAGAACATACTTTGATTTCAGCTTGGAGCTAAAAGTACTCTGACAGAAGCCCTCGGACACATCTGTATCGGCCACTTCTGAAGAGGAGTTGATGATGTGCCATGACGAAGTTTACAATTTCTCATTAAGTTTTAGGGAGTGAGTAAGCGTGTTTGTCTCATTATGTATCCTCAGGGCAACCAGGACGCCACGGCTCCGCCTGACGCAATGGCCCAGCCCTACCCTCCAGCCACATACCCACCACCCCCACAGAATGGCATCCCTGCAGAGTATGCTCCTCCGCCACACCCACACCCAGCACAGGATTACTCAGGGCAGAGCACAGTACCTGAGCATGCCTTGACTCTCTATACGCCAGCACAGAGCCACACTGAACAGCCGGGCACTGACGCCAGCACGCAGTCCATAGCGGGCACACAAACAGTACCGGTAAGAGATTCTGTGTGAAGACAGCCTGAAAAGGGAATCAGCTTTGGCATGGAGAATGCCTGGCGTGTGCAGGGCAGTTGTGGAAAGCAAATTGAACAAGGAAGAAGGAAGGCAGTTGTCTGTGCAAGAATGCAAAATGGAAGGAAGGGGCTGGGAAATCCATGCCCAAACTTGGGTGTGAAGCCCAAGGAGAAATTTCAAGTAGATGGAAATGGGGGGAAGTGAGGCCCATCAGGAAGCAGCAGGCCACACACCATCTTTCTAGCCATCTTGTCCACAGTATGACTGAGACCCAGAGACAGCTGGGAATTTATGGGCCAGCATCAAGATGGGGGAGGGCTGAAACAGTAGAGGGCTTGGGCTGCGGGAGGCAGGTGTCTGTTGAGGCTATTGTAGCACCCTGCTGCCCCTATGGGCATTTGTGGCTCAGCACTTAAGTTTCCTGGCTCCCCTCTTGTCCCTAATCACTTGTAATCTACCTGCTTGGCAGCTCGCCAATCCCATCCTGCCAATGATGTGGTTGTAATGCAGCTCGGCAAGGAAGCGCTGAGTGAGCAGTTCCCAGCTGCTCCTTGGTCCCTGAGTGCGAGGCTGGCTCTTTGCCACCACGCAGCTAGGAGAGCAACCTCTGGCTCCCCACGTGGCAGGCAGGCAGGCCGGCCAGCCAGCCAGCCTCCATGGAAACTCAGAGCCAGGCAACCATTTCTCCCCATCCACAGATGCATCTGCTCTGTCCCAGTCTTTATGCCACTGCCTCACATACACTGTGCTTAGACTTTTTATTGCACTTTTTAAGTGCCTCACAATGAACCATACAACAGCATTATAACATAAACTGGTATTATTAACTGTTGCAGCTGGAGTGCAGTTGGAGTTGAAGGAATAGTGGCTCACCAAAGATGAATTAGTCAATAAGAATAGATTTGACCCAGGGATTTATAGGCTCTCCACTCAGGCTCTGACGCTATATGTCCCCAGCTCTATATACCATTAAAGGTTAGGAAGCCTTCACATTCAAGCATGTACACAGATGGCTGCCCCTAGTCAGACATCTAGAGGGCTGATATCCCCACCGAAACCCATTTGTGACCAGCAAAACCCACTCCCTAGTGCCTGTGCACATATTTGCACATAGCAAGGTGTGGTAAGAAACATACACAGATGTTTGAAACAGTGCTGAAGTCATGGTGGAAATATGTCCCCTCCCCCAGCAGACAGATGAAGCGGCACAGACAGACAGCCAGACGCTACACCCGCCGGACAGTGGCTCTGATAAGCAGCAGCCCAAACGGTTACATGTTTCCAACATCCCTTTCCGCTTTCGGGACCCTGACCTGCGGCAAATGTTTGGGGTAAGTAATTTTCATCCACACATACCATGTCCACATGCACGCGTGCCCCCAGGAGGTTCAGGAGGTACCCTGGTAGTGGTAAAGGCAGAACCAATGCTGTGAAGACCAGTGCTGTTCCCAAGCTTGTCCCCAAGCCCATGCATCCTGACGGAGCAAACGCTGCATAGTTCCTTTGCAAACAAGTTCATACCCACTGGGTCTGCCTTGTGGAGCCATGGGTGGAATGCAGGGTCTCTCACTCTCTTCCTTCACCTCAAAGGTTTGGCCAGAGCTCTCTCCATTCCTCATTACTCTGGGCCCCAGCAGATTGACATGCCTTATCAACCAAGCATGTTTTAAACTGAGCAGCTCTCCATGCCGGAACATGAAATGCATAGATGATGCTTAAATGATGAAGTACCCACCCTGTTGCGGATGGTGCTCCCACGGGATGGATGAGGGACTTGGTGGCCAGTTTAAACATAATAAAAGAGGAGGCATTATGTCTGAGTAGGGTAACAGACTGAAGTGCTTCTGTGTGGGCACCTTACCTTCTGAGAAGGGCCTCTGGTTCCAGCAGCTGCCTGAGTGAAGTGCCCAGGGAGAGGGGACAAATCAAAGCAGATGGGTTTACAATGCCAAGATAGGGTGGAAAGGGAATGTTTGCCTGGGTCCCATTTTCACCATCCATTTGCCCTTCTTTTCAGCAATTTGGAAAGATCCTGGATGTTGAGATCATTTTCAATGAACGTGGCTCCAAGGTGGGTTCAACATGTTGGTGTCTGGTAGGGCCTTAATTTCAACAAGGGCACCTCTTCCCCGTGGGCCAGCCTGCCCTCTCAGTTCTTCACCCTGCCCCATTCACTCCTATCCTTCCCGTTCTCTTTGCCACTTCCTCTCAGTGCCTCATTTTGCCCATTCACTATAGCTATCCTTCCCCACTGTGCAACTCTGCAGCCATGGTTTAAACAGCATTTTGATATGAACTTTCCACCTTAATGCTGATGTGCAGAATTTATGGTACTTATTGTACAGGTTTTGCGTTCTTCCAACTCTGAATTCATAATAGTATAACTTTTTAAGATGATAAACTAGCAGCCACAAGATTATATAAAAATAGCAATTCAAAGCAGGAGAAGAACATTCGATCGTGGTGTAATGAGTAATCATTCTCACAGAAGAAAAGCAGTATTTTACATACAGCAACTTGGCACACAAGGCTGAAGGCTTCAAATATGAGCATGGTTATATAGTTGCCTTTTTAAGAAACAAACACCAGAACATTTTTGACATGGCCTGAACTTTATTTCCCTGCAGGTATGAGGTATTCAGAGTTTGACAGGATTTCAAATTCCTTCCAACTCGTAAAGAACTCTCAGGAAAAGACAGATATCTATTACAAAGAGTCTCGCAGTGCTGTGAATGCACTCTCTCTTTCATTATGAGCAGCTGTAATACATCAGCAAACGGAATGCTCGTATATACTACAGCCACTGGCTGGTCACTCTGTCACTGCTGCCTCATAGGAACAAAGCCCCATGAAGCTGGTTGCCTGAGGTGGTGGGGGGGAGAGACTGGTCTGCTTCTGTCTCAGGCAAATGAGCACCTAGCAAAAGGATGCTCTTAGATGCAGGTAGCTTTCTTGCCCTGCTTTCTCATCTGCCTCCCCCCCCCCCCGCATAAACACAACTGCACCACCTCTCCTGCTGGAAAACAAAGCACCCCACAGCCAACACGTGCAATAGAAGCAGCCTCCTAAAGCACCCAGCTTCAGAACACTTCTTTGCCAAACCAAGGAGTGGGCAAGGAACTGGCAGCAGTGGTGTCACCAGTCAGTGGAACAGCATATACTAGTGCTGGATTGGCTAATATGCTACAGCCCCATATATTATTATTATTATTATAGCCCCACCCCTGCTACTGCAGGGTTCTGGGTGATGTACAACCCGAAATAAAACAAGATAAAATTAATTAAAACCTTAATACAATATAAAAACAAACAGATGGAGAATAACCAATCCTCCTTCCAACTCCCACTGCCAGCTACTTCGTGGACGGGGGAGAGCAAAATAGATGTAGACAACAAGGAACGGGAAGGGTGCCAGCCAAGATGGAACCGTCGCTGTCCTCAACCAAATGCCTGGCGGAACATCTCTGCCTTGCAGGCCCTGCGGAATTGCATCAGATCCCGCAGGGCCCTGATGGAATTTGGCAGAGAGTTCCATCAGGTTGGGGCCAGGACCGAAAAAGCCCTGGCCCTGGTTGAGGACAGACGGATGTCTTTAGAGCTGGGGATCACCAGTAGATTGCTGTCTAAGGAGCGCAAAACTCTCCTGGGGACATAACGGAGGAGATGGTCCGTAGATATGTCGGTCCCTGACCGCTTGAGGCCTTATAGGTTAATATCAAAACCTTGAACTTGACTCGGTATTCCACTGGGAGCCAATGTAGCTGGCGCAGCACTGGATGTATATGTGCCGTCTGGGATGTTCCCGTCAGGACTCGCGTTGCCATATTCTGGACCAGTTGGAGCTTCTAAGTCAATCTCAAGGGTAGGCAAGCATAGAGCGAGTTACAGTAGTCTGATCTGGAGGTGACTGTTGCATGGATTACTGTGGCCAGATCAAAGTGCGACAGGAAAAGGGCCAGTTGCTGAGCTTGGCATAGATGAAAAAACGCTAGCTTGGCAGTCTGAGCAACCTGAGCCTCCATACTCAAGGAAGTGTCCAAAATCACTCCCAAGCTCTTGACGGATTCTGCCGGTGTCAAAGGCACTCCATCAAGAGCTGGTAATCTATGCCCCATTCCTGAAGGCCCACCCCCCCCAGCCACAGAACCTGTTAGAAAGGGATCGCCAACCCTGTTACACAACACTGTGAGCCTCTGTTCCAAGTCCTGGTCAGTTTCAGTAATGGCTCTTAGTCCCATTAAAAAGTCTTTCTATGACCACCTTTCATTTTCCAGAAAAAACCAAAGCCAGGGGTAGCCAGATTCCATTGCAAGGACCAGCACCACAGCCCAGAACTTGCCTACATCCATTGCCCCTGGGGGCCCCTTTCCTTCAGGAATGGTAAACACGCTACCACATCTTGACCTGCAGCTATAATCTCTTAGGAAGCCAGTGTCTGTCTTATTCCTCTCCAGCCTTACCCTATTCCGTTCTCCTTCCATTGCCCCTTCCCCCCAGTCCTTGGGGTGGTTTGGGAAGTCCACATCCTGCCTCTTCTCCCAGGCCCTGGGAGTCTCTGTCTCTGCTGCTCCTTACTCACCCCTTCTCTCTGTCCTGTCCCTCCCCACCCCTCTCTTTCTCTTCATCTTTTTCTCCTCCTCCTGTCTCTCTCCCTTCTCTTCCCATCTCTCTCTCTCTCTCTCTGTATCTCTCTCTCTCTGTATCTCTCTCTCTCTCTCTCTCTCTGTATCTCTCTCCCTTTCTCTCCCCCACTCACAGGGTTTTGGGTTTGTAACTTTTGAAACTAGTGCAGATGCCGATCGGGCACGGGAGAAGCTGAACGGCACCATCGTAGAAGGACGCAAAATTGAGGTGCGGCCAAGTGCACTGCCTGCTCTGCTTCGGGCACTAGGAGCCGCGTGTGCTCTCCTCCACCCCACCCCTCTTGACCGTTCCTTCCTCTTGAGCCTCACAGGACAAGCAGGCGGGCAAATGGATGTTGCATGCCTTGTGCTGTTGATGCCCAGAGGGTGAGAGGGAGGGGATGCAGAGTGGAAGGGAAGGAAGGCGGGACCTCTTCCACAAGCAGCTACTGATGGTGGCCAGGCATTCAGGCCAACCTAAAGGAAGTAAGGCCAAGCATCCCTGGCATTTCCTAGATTAAGAAACCAGCTGTAGCAGCCATGGGCTTGAGACACCTAAGCTGTATAGGGAAGGGTTGCCATTTTGCTGCCATTCTTTCCTACTTCCTGGATGTTTTTATTTAGAATATTAAGTGGTGAATGTAAACAATCCAAATGAGAAATGGCTTGGTTTTGTCCTGACACAGCTGGCATGGCCCTTCTCGCTCCCACTGGGCCATGAGCTGCTGCATAAGGTGATCACACCTGCTGTGTACTCTTACCAGAGTTGCTTGGTTCTGGTAAGCCAGAGCTGTGTGGAAGGGACGTAGTGCTGTGTTTACCCAGACACTCTCTTTCGCTCTGTCTCCTGCCATTTCGCTCTGGGGTTGGTTTCTTATGTCCTCTCTTGTGTGGCATTGCATGGTATGTCCAGCAACTGATACTTCCACTGTGCATGCAGCCTGGGCAGGGCCCTGCATGTTAGTTGTGTATGTGACACAGGGATGGTGCAGGGGAAAGTTTCAGGAATGTGGCAAACCTACAGGGATTTTTGAACTCTTTTGCATCTTGTCCATGCTCAGCAAGGAGCTGCAAGGTGAAAAGTAAAGGACATTTTGAACGAGGTGGAGATCCTAAGATAGGAAATCAATGGTCAGCGGGTCAAGAGGAAAAGCATCTCCTGTGAGGATGAATTTGATCCAGGATCCCAAATGATGTTTGTGAATCCTGAAACTTTCCCTGTTGCCACTCCCAGATATCACCCTTTATATCAGGAGCAGATTTGGTCCCAGTCCTGTCCATCACACGCTTTCTCTGCTCTTTATCTACCCAGGTCAACAATGCCACAGCACGGGTAATGACAAACAAGAAGGCGGCCAATCCCTACACAAATGGTAATGGATTGGGGAGGGCAGAACTGGGGAGGGGGTGATTTCTGCCAAACTAGCAGTCTTTGTGGACCGCCATTTCTGGGGTGGGAGCTGTTTTCTGGAAACTGGAGGGGCTGCAAGAAGTGCAGAATATGTGTTGCTGGGGAGCCTGGTTTTGTGGTATATTCTGGGGAACAGAAGTGACAAGACAAGCTAAAGAAACTGACCTAGCAGTCCTCAGCCTCCATCTCCAGTGGGTCTGACATCCATTCTTCGCCAGGGCCAGGGCTCTTGTTTTCTTTCTTCCCAGCTTGTCAGGCTGGCAGCCCTTTTCTCAGGCATACAGGAAGGAGGGGTGGAAGCGGAGAGCAGGTAGGACTTAAGGGGTGTTTTCATGTCTGCTTGGTGTTTTCCCCCCTAGGTTGGAAGCTGAACCCTGTAGTGGGCACCGTCTATGGCCCTGAGTTCTATGCAGGTAAGGTCTGGATCAGGCCAGGTCCTTGGGCAAGAGTTGCTCCTTAGCGAGCTTGGGAAGACCACTTGAGTTTCATAGCAGATCCTAATTATTTCTTATTCCTAATATGCAGCTGTCCGTTGTTGCTGGTAAAAACCAGAAAAAAAAGAAGAGGGGGACTGATGGATAGAAGTAGGACTTCAGTAGAGCACAACTGAGGCATATTAATGTTTTGGTGGTAGTGCATACCTCTTGTTGCGGGGCCATAGAAGGGACTGACAGGAGCAGGAGGATTAGGAGTGGATCTATACTTTAAAAAAGGGTTGCTTTGAATAGTTGTTGAGTTTTTTCCATAGAACTATCATTCCATAAGATCTTAGGCAGTGGATGGAGCTTATCAGGCTGGTGTTGAAAATAATCTTGGGTTCTAGTAGAAGGGCTGACATTAAGAGTTAAGATGAGTGGAAGATGATCACTAGTTATATAGTCGCCGACGGCGAAATCTGCGACATGAGATTCCAATGAAGAAGCGACTATAAAATAGTCAATTACACTGCAGCCCTTTGTTGAAACGAATGTATATCCTCTAGAATTGGGGGATTTGGTGAGCCCATTGAGCCAAACTTTGTTAAACTGAAAACACAGCTTGGCGAGATGGATACCTGCCGAGTTTATGTGGCAGTCTTTGGAGTACCTTGTAAGAGTGAAAATAGGTGGAAGTGTATCATCCTGATCAGGGGTCATTTCATAGAAAAAGAGCCGCAGGAGCTCATTAGCATACCTAATGAGCTATTAGCATAATAATTCATTAACATATGCCACGACCCCTGACATCACCAGAAGTGATGTCAGAAGGGGAAGCAAAAAAGGGGGGGGAGGCATCTTCAAAAGCCTCCCCTTCCCCAGCTGGGGCGCTTTTGAAGACCCCCCCTTTTTTTTTGCTTCCCCTGCCAGCCTGCCAAGGTGGGTGGGTGGGGAAGCAAAGAAAGAAGGGGTTTAAAGTTTAAACCCCTTCTCTCTGCGATCTCTCCATTCTATTCTATGGCCCATAGAATAGAATAGAGAGAACGTGCCGCTGCTTTCACCCCTCCCCCCGCCCCGCCCTGCCGGGCGGGCGGTGGCTGGGAAAGGGGAGGCTTTTGAAGATCTCCCCCCTTCTTGCTTCCCCTGCCAGCCTGCCAAGGCGGGTGGGGGGGGAAGCGAAGAGAGAAGGTGTTTAAAGTTTAAACCCCTTCTCTCTGCGATCTCTCCATTCTATTCTATGGCCCATAGAATAGAATGGCGAGATCGTGCCGCCGCGCAACTCCAGAGAGAACGGGTTTTTAAACTTTAAACCCCTTCTCTTTGGAATCGTGTCACAGTGGCAGCGTGATCTTTCCATTGTATTCTGTGGGGCCATAGAATACAATGGAGAGATCGTGCCGCTACTGCGGCGTGACTCTAAACAGAAGGAGCTTGGGGGCGGAAAGCTGGGGGCTCCAGCACCGGGCCGGGAAACGTGGCAGGGGAGGGAGGCGGCCTCTGCACTCTGGCACCGAGCCCGAGAAATGCAGCGGCGGCAGCAGGGGGGTGGCGGCATGGGGGCAGCCTCTGAAGGCCTTTCTCAGGCCCTGCACTCCGGCACCAGGCCCAAAAAACACGGGAGGGGGGCGGCGGCATCCAAAGGCCTTTCTCAGGCCCTGCGCTTTGGTGCTGGGGCCGAGAATGGCAGTGGGGGGGAGGGGCGGCCTCTGAAGGCCTTTCTCAGGCCCTTTGCTCCGCCGCCAGGCCCAAGAAACGCGGTGGCGGGGGGGTGGCCACGGCAGGGGGAGAGGGTGGCGCTGGGGGGAGGGGGCCGCCTCTGAAGGCCTTTCTCAGCCCCTGCGCTCCAGCGCCAGGCCTGAGAAACACGGTGGGGGGGAGGGGCAGCCTCTGAAGGCCTTTCTCAGGCCCTGTGCTCCGGTGCCAGGCCCAAGAAATGCAGTTGCGGGGGGCAGCCATGGCAGGGGGAGAGGGCAGCGCTGGGGGGAGGGGGCGGCCTCTGAAGGCCTTTCTCAGACTCCGCGCTCCGGCACCAGGCCGAGAAACAGGGCGGCAGCTGGAAGGGTGGCTCCCAGCCTCAGCAGGCCATTCTGTGGGCCTTAACTTACCTTCCTTCTGTCTCCTCATGGCCCGACTAATGGCTGATGGGAGCAGGGGGTGGGACTTGGTCCCGCCTCCTGAGCTCCTCACTCCCGGAGCGCCGCTCCAGTGCGCTCCGGGGCCAACCAACCCCTGATCCTGATTAATTTCAGTAGCCTTAAAGAAAATTTTATATTCATTATAATAATTAGGAGTGGAAGGATTATTTCAGGTCTGTACATAACACAGAGATGTAAGAGAAGGGTGAGGTGTGTGTATTAGCCTCCTAGCTCATTGGAATATGTCTACAATTCTTTGTCAAGGAACCACTTATCTGCCTGGCCCACAGGAATTGGCATTAAATGTTTAAATGTGGTCAGGGTTATTCCTGGGCAATGCTAATGGGAATTTCTTTCTTTCTCTCCTGTAGTGACAGGTTTCCCATACCCAGCCACAGGAACAGCAGTAGCATACCGAGGGGCACATTTACGGGGAAGGGGCCGCACAGTCTACAACACGTTTCGGGCAGCTCCCCCACCACCTCCCATCCCCACTTACGGAGCGTGAGTATTTGGCTGTGGCTGGGCCTTTCAGTGGGGGTGGGGTGAACCACTTCAGCAGCAGCAGATTGGGCATCAAGCTCACTGGGAAACTGCCTGGTTGGCCAGTACCCTGGGGGGGGCTTTGGTGGAGGAAGCCTGCCCCCAGCACCTCCAGTATCTGCCACCCTGCCCTCAGCCCCGTCCCATCTGCCTTCCACACTTGAGGAAGTGCTTGGTAGAGGTGGAGGGGACTGCCTGGAAGAGCAAGGACCAAAGCCTTGCAGCTCAGAAAGGCAATCCTCGCTTCCTAGGACAAGCCTCAGTAAATCCTCCTCCTGTCCTCTCTGCTTTCCTCTTCATTCCCTTCCTCCACCCTCCTCTGCTTCTGCCCTACCTCCCTACCTTCATCCCATGATGCCTTCTCTCTTCCTCCTGCCCTTGCAGCCAGCCACTGCGTAGCGGCTGTGTCTAGCCCCTCTCACCACAACTGTTCTGCTCCCTCCCGAGCACGTTTTCCAGCTAGCTCCATCCAGACCATTGGGCTTCCGGGGGGGGGGGGACTCCAGCCCTGCCTTCCATCATTTGCCCTGCTGGCCCCCTGCAGGAGGGCAGGGCAGTGGGACTGGGCACTGCAAGTCATGCCTTCTCTCCTGACTGAGGCAAAAGTGCATCATGGAAATGTTGCTTCTCAGGGATGTCAGGAAATATTTTTTGTGCATCTCTTTTGTGTGTGCGAATGAGAGAGATTTCCTATCCTTCTTATTAAATTGTTACATTTTGGTGACAGTTCTACAAATTAACAGCAGTGGAGAGTTTGAACGGAGATGTTAGAATGAACTTTTATGTTTTCCATTCTAAATTAAGTCTTGGTGATACCAATGTCTCTGTGTTTTACCAATAAAAATGCCTTGATTTAATTTCATAAGGCTACAGTCCTAAGGCTGCTTTCCTGGGAGCAAGCTCCATTGAAGAGAATAAGAGGAGCTGAGTAGATCCGCTCAGGATTGCTCCCTGGTATTAGAGTGCAGTTCAATAATAGCACCATATTTCTACACACTGCAATATAACTGATTTGTTTACTTATAAGCAGGGGTCATTTCCACTGTTCCCTCTAAGCTGAGTTAAGGTGAGCTAGCTAGCTCAAAGTTTTTTAGCCTCCGGCTCACACATTTTTGTCTTAGCTCAGGAGGGATGGCTCCAGAGCAAACTAGTTTATGCAGTAACCAAATCACTCACTCACAACTTTAATGCCAGTAGCTCACGAAATGGAATTTTTGCTCACAAGAACATTGGCCATTTAATAGAAAAAGAGGTGCAGGCGCTCACCCTGGGGAAGGGAGAGAAAGGCATTCTAAACATGCCTGGGTTCCCTGCCCGATCTTCTCTAGGTGCCCCACAGCCGCAGTGGGGCACCTGGAGAAGATTGGGCAGGGAACCCAGGCATGTCTGCCTGCCTGCCTGCCCTTCCCTTCCGTTCTCCAGCTAGCCTGCCACGGTGGGTTGGCTGGGGAGGGGAAGGGGAGGCAGGCAGACATGCCCCGTTTTTCCCCTGAGCCTCTCCGCTTTTGCGGAGAAACTCGGGGAAGTGGGGGGGGATTTAAATGCCTTTCTTAGAAAGAAAGGCATTCTAAACATGGACCCTTCCCCAGAGTGTCCAGAGTGAGCAGATGTTCTACCACCTGGGAGACATTCTCAGCCTTCGCCACTCCCACCTGGACCCAAGCCAGGGTGGACAAGTTGGACTTCTTCAAGGTCAGCCTCCCCCTGCTGGGCTACCCCTCTCTGGACCTCACGGAGTAAGACCCAGGCCTCCTGTTGTCTCCCCGCACGTCTCCCCATTCGTCCTCCTCTTGGGTGATCTGACCTGCGGGTTGTGCCCTTGGCACTTGCATAGGCGTAATCTTCGTGGGGGCGGCGGGGCGTCAGCCCCCGCCGAAATTTTCAGGAAGGTGCTCAGCCTCCCCCGGGAGCCACCCTTGCTCCTAGCAAAGCAATGCCTCTGGCCAAGCCCCAGCCCCCCTTGGGAAATTGGAAAGTCTACACCCTTGGGCACTTGGATGGGAAGATGGCTGCCTTTGCCAGTCAGGGGTGGGCTGCCCCCACACCCAACCCTTTCTCACTGAAATTCCCCCACTGAGAAAACCTCTGGATACCCCCCTTTCCTTTTACCCGCCAAAGAAAATCTCCCTCACCCAACACTTATTTCATGAAACATCTGCCCCATAACACAATACTTACCTCACGAAAGAACATCTACCTCATAACAAAACACCTACCTCGTGGAACAACATCCACTTCAGCAAACATCGACCTCAACAAACATCTGCCTGTACAAGCAAGCCCCTATTTGACTATCCCTTTGCATTGCATTTGTACAATTAACAACAGGTGATCTCTTATCTGTGCAATGTGTTCTGCTAGTGGTGAATAACCAGAAATTTCACCTAGGAATGAGCTGTGACCAGAGAATATATGTGTTTGGGCCTGAGGGGGCCTGGGAGCATTTTGGGCACGCCTCACTGGATCCTATTGCTTGCCAGGGGTCTCTGCCAAGCTACTTTGGGGGTCCCCTGTGGAAACTCTTTCTGCCCTTCAGAACCTGCCTTTGGAGACTTGGGGGTGGCCCTGCCAGCTCAACTTGTGTTTCAATTCCTTTGCTGCTTAGAAGAATAAACTCCGGTTGATGGGTGTGCTCTGGACCTGTGTGTTTCAGCCCGGGGGGGGGAGCTGTGAGAGTTGTGGGCATGCTTCCCTTGCTTGAGTTTTATGGCTAGGGTACCTGCCAAGCTGTCATGGGGTTACTTTGAGGAGCCTCTGTTAAAACTTAGGGGATGTCTGCCTTTCCATCCTTCAGAACCTGCTTTTGGAGACTTGGGGGGGGGCTGTGAGCATAGGGGGGATGCTTGCCTTGCTTTCAATGTCTGGTGGGGGGGGAGTCTGCCCAGGTGAAGTGTCCTTGAGATCTCCTGTGAGTTTGGTATCCCTATCGTGCCGGGGGGGCGGGGGGCGGATTCTACTGTGTCATGGACTGAAGTAGTTTGTTTGGTGCCAAAAAGTTCATCCAGTTATGTCCCAGCTGAAGCTAGGAGATTTTATTGTTTCCAGAAAAGACAGAAAGATACTACAAGAATAAGACAACAACAAGACAGCAAACAAATGACAATGACAACTACAATAATGGAGCTCATACTTTGTCCCTGGTTAGCATAGAGAATAAAATTGAATCTTAATCTATACACCTGTACCTAATTATATAGTCAATTTTAAGAGGTAGCGTTTACTTTTTAAATTCTTTTCAAGATTTCTGAATATAATCTTCAATCCATCTATATCGTCTCGACCAGTTGTTTTCAAAAGTTCCGTCTTTTTCCCTTGTAGCTGTAAAGTTGATTTGTCCATTTCTGCTGCTTCAAGCAATTTATGTATTATTTCTTCCTTCTTGGGTTTTCTTCTTTTTTCCAATATTTTGCATAGAGTATTCTAGCAGCCGTCACAACACGTACAATCATATAAACATATTGTTTTGTAAAATTTTGCAGAATAATATTTAATAAAAACAATTAAGGGTTAAAGGGTATACTTACAACTAGTATTTTTTGCAATATTTAATGTATCCATATCCAATATGTTTTTGCTATCTTACACGGCCACCACATATGATAAAAAGAACCAGTTTTGTTTTGACATTTCCAAAATAAATTTGACTTATTTAGATACCATTTAACTAAATTTTCCGGAGTCATGTACCATCTATAAAACATTTTATATATATTTTCTTTGTATGAAACAGCTTTTGTAAATTTTATGTTTACCTTCCACACCCTAGACCAATTCTCCATTTGTATATTATGGCCTAAATTTTGCGCCCATTTAATCATTGATTCCTTTACAACTTCATCTTGCATTTTCATATCTAATAGCAACATATAAATTCGCTTTATATATTTCCCATCTGTTCCACACAAGAGTTTATCAAGCTCCTGGGGTGTATCATAGAAACCAATTACTTGGTGCCAAAAAGTTCATGATGGTTCGTGGCTCACAAGACGGGCACGCCACAAACCACAAACCAAAACAAACCCCATTTTATCAGTTCATGCCCATCACTAATCACAAGAGTAATTCATGGGATTTTTTAAATGTTCCATTAACAAAACATGTTGTGGCCGCATAGAATACTTTATACATGATTTTTTTTGCCCTGTTTCAAATGGAATTTTGTGGAGCTAAAAAGTTTATAAAGGAGACCCAAACAATCATCTATAAGGGAAGGCTCAGGAATCTTGGCCATTTCAGTTTCAAAAAGAGGTGATTAATGAAGAGAGGGGAAACAAGATAGACATTTGTAAAATTATGTGTGGCTGAAGACAGAATATAAAGAGCGCTCTTCACCCTCTGCTAAAACTCTAGAGCTTGTGGTCATGCCTTACATTTTATGAACAGTACAGGTAGACTGGCAGAGCTCTGGAATGCCTCCAGCGCTGCAGTCCCAAGCACTCTTCCCTAAGAATAAGCCTCATTGAACATAGTGGGACTTACTTCTGAGCAGACACACTTAGGATTGTGTTTCAAGGCATCTGGAAAGCCCCATGTTGGGCTTAATGGCGGAGTACAAAGACTATGGCGTTTTCCAGACTGCAGCCACCTTTCGGTTTTTCATAGGTGTCATGGTGGTTCCGATTATATCGGTGCAATCAGTTCACACTTACTCCCCCCCCCCCGTCACAGTTCTCTTTTACTTTCCCATTGAGGGTTGGTTTTCCGGGGGGGGGGGTTGGGGGGTGCACATGCACTGAAAAATCAAAGCATTTCAGCAGCCTCAAGGGTGCTGTGCAATCCCCATTGAAGTACATTACGCTCAAGTAAGCATACGTGGAGAGGGGCACTTCCAGGATGAGCCTGCCCCAGTTTCCAGTGCCTTTGCCCTTTCTTGGGGAAGAGGCTCCATGAAAACCCCCTCCTCAATCTGGCCTTACTTCAGAGTTAAGCATTGTCACTTGATAAAGCTAGGTTCAGGTGGTCAGCCATGTTGGTCTGAAGCAGTAGAACAAATGTGGAGTCCTTTGGCACCTTTAAGACCAACAGAGTTTTATTCAAGGTGTGAGGTTTCCTGTGCGAGGCACACTTTTTGCATTTGAAAAAGTGTGCCTTGCACACGAAAGCTCATACCTTGGATAAAACTTTGTTGGTCTTAAAGGTGCCACTGGACTCTAAATTTGTTCTACTTGATAAAGCTGTCAGCATCACCCAAGCCTGTCACAGAACACATCCCCTCCCATGAGAGTAATCCCATTAACTTCAGCATGTCTACTCTTGTGTGAAGCAAGGGGTGGGGGACAGGATCCAGGGCATTCAAAGTAGCCAGTTCTCCACCCTTCCCCCCCCCCCCCCCGCTGAGGCTTATGATTAATATATGTATCTTCTTCAGTCTTCCTCTGCATTGTTCTGGTAAACATCTCAAGAACCGTTTTTTTAAGGAACTGGAGTTGAAGAATTCTTTTTTTATTATTTCAAGATCGCCTTGAGGATTGACTCTGAGTCAGCTTCCTGTATAAGCAGAGCTGCAGGAGCTGGTAGCGGGTCTCCCAATGGGACTGTTTGTTTCAGCACAGGCACCCTCCAGCACTAAAACTTTTCAATGCTGGCACGCAATTTTATTTTTATTTTTTTAAGTTCACTGTCCAAACCCGCCTTTTCTGGGCAGGTTTTAGGCGCCAATCCACGAGGCAGAAAAAGATGTTCAAATTCCGAGCAAGAGACTATCTTATGAATTCATTCTGTAATGGGAAAAAAATACCGGAAAAACTAGTTTAGGAAAGGGGGGGGGGGGAATGACAAGGAAAGACTAGGTCAGCATGGAAATGTTAACAAAGTTGTCAGGACACACACACACACACACAAAAAGAAATGGTAACATCGGGAAATGAAAATATAACATTAAGGCAATCTGGAAAACACCTATGATACTTTTTTCCAGGGCTGTTTTACTCCCCAGTCCACACCTGCCCTTTAGCCAGAGGTACAACCTAGACAGCAACATCCTCATTCCTCTCTTGGAGGTGACTCTGGAGCTCAATAAGAAGCCATGGTGAGCACTTCCTGGTGTGGACACACTAGACTTCTGACCACATCAGTTACAAGTCCTGATGCCATGCGTAATTAGGCAGCTGGAAGACCTGGGGTTCCCCGTTCCAAAGGGTCTGTCTCAGGGTGTGCCTGATTGTGTGAGTAGCATCCTTTGTCCTATGGTCTGATGAAACCCTCTAGCATTAGGTAGGTACCAAACTTCATAGAAAATTTATAATTTGATCATCAACCAGAAAACTCCAGAAGACGTCTCTCAACCTTCTCCCTCAGATATTACCATTACAGTTAACAGTCTTGGTCCGATTTGTGACAACAACTTTGCAATTACAGAAATAAAGTCAGTTAATTCTACTTGGATGTAATCTCTCTATAGGGAAATTAGTTTACTGTGCTATGTAGTGAAAGGGAGGGTTTTTTGTTTTGTTTTATGCAGCTGGAGTAGTACAGCGGGTGTGGCTGCCAGATCCATGTACGTGCAGCATGAAATACACTCGTGTGGCATTTCTCGTATCATGATCAACCCACAGCTGGGAAAGCATCCTGTGTAGTCATGGATTTTTCCCCCATCTCAAATTCCATGCCCAACATAAATTATGCAAGCCAATTAAGTGTATGCAGATGTTCTCTGCAGAAATACTCAATTTGCATGCTCTGTTCTAAAACTGTGATTATTCTACATTTTGTGCAGAGAAGAAGTGCGGAAGGGGTAGCAAGACCCTGCATTACTCTGGCAGCAAGAGAAATATGGATATGTGTGGGACATCTGGGAAGCTATGGGGAGGAAAACCTGAACAGAAGTCATGCAACAGGGGGCAGCTAGTCGGGGATGCCCCCAAAGTTTCTCCCCTTACTTTCAATACCCTAGAGGCATGCAGCTCAGAAACTTGTGTATTAAAAAAAGATTTAAATGAGCTCAAAGCTGTTGCCACATTCATGTGGATCTCCAAATAGATGGCGTGTGTCTGAGAGTGATTGCTCTTCCTTGGTCATCCCACTCACCTGTCAGGCAGGTCACCCCATCAGCCTGATGACTTGCATAACTCCCACTGACTAGGCAGAGAAAGGCAATTAACAGCAACTAAACCAACTCACTGAGGTTCCAGGACCAGGGCTGTCCCTTGAAATAAATTTGCCGCTGCATGGAGTGGACAAAGTGCTTCTTCACACACAGCTAGAAGTCACAGTTGCCTCTTTTTCTCGTTTCCTTTGCAGAGTGGTTTACCAGGATGGATTCTACGGTGCTGAAATTTATGTAAGCCCAGCTCCTCTGATGGCTCTTGGGGACCCTTGTTTGTGAAGCAAATGCAGCATTTTAGTTTCAAGTCAGGGCTGTCGTAACAAAGCAGCTGGTTTTCACATACGCTGCTGACTTCTCATTCCCTCAAATAGTGTCCATTGATGATAAACACGCATGCTGCTTCATGGAGGTTATATTGGGGCTGACAAATGGCACCTGCTGACTGGGTTCTGAACTGGTAGGAACAATGGACAACCCACAGATTTGTGGAGATAAAGGAGGCATGGCAACACATGCACATGTCCCACAGCTGTGTCTTCTTTTTGTCCCCCCAAGTTGCAAATCTTAATGCAAAAAGCTTCAGAAATTGCAGAAATGCTTGAAATCAGTTTCCCCATGCATGTGCCAGTAGGGAACCACTAGGAAGAAGCACCTTGGATGCAGTGCAAGACAATGAACTAGGGGTGGGGATTAAGGTGATATGCTAGTAGCCTGTCCCTTTTTACATCTGCTCCCCCAGAGGGCAGAATTTATTTTCTGGCCCAGTGCCAGCAGGCTGTATTACAGCGGCATTTCCCCTCCATATTTAAAGTGCTCTGGGCAATATTTCAGGCAGGCTGTGACGGATTTATCAGAGGCGACATCTCGTTAACACAGCCACCCACCAGGGAGGTGACATTCTCTCCTCAGCATGTTTAATTTCTGCAGGTTAATGTTAGCAAGATCCCCCGGGAATGCTAATGAGACTGGCGTTGGGTTAGTCTTGACTCCCTCCTGGGCTGGGCTTACGCCTGGCGTGCCCAGTTCCTTTGCTGGGAACTGGCCTCTTGGCCTAGGCACCCCCTTCCCCAACTGGCAGGGTAGGCAGGTTTCTCGCCTTTAATGCCTTGTTTCTCTGGTTTGCTTTAGGGAGGTTATGCAGCCTACAGGTATGCCCAGCCTGCAGCAGCAGCAGCTTACAGCGACAGGTAAGCAACCTTGTGTGTAGAGAACATCATGAACATCACTTTTATCCGATGGAGAACTGATCTTGCCATTCATGTCCTCATCCCCTTCAAATGTTATCAGCCAGCCTCCAGGGGAGAGGGATTAAGAATAGGGCCACCGTATTAGGGGATTCTCTCCAGGGAGTGGGGAAGAGGAACCATCTTTGTCTATAGCAAGTAACTGTTTAATGTGCAGTGTTTAAAATGCATCTAAGCCATAGGTAGTCATGTAAAAGTACCAGTGTGGCCACAGCACAGCAGTGTGGCCTAGAGCACGAGCCGGCCGTTGGGGCGCAGGGGGAGAGGCAGGGGCGGCCACAGCCTCTCCTCCCGCAGCCCGGCCAGGGCAAAAAGGGTGGGGGAAGGGAGCCAAGGGGAGCGTGGCGAGGCAGGCAGGCAGGCAGGCAATCCCCGGGGCCGCTGCTGGCCCGCTGGCCAATCAGCACCCCCTAGCAGGAAATCCCGGCGCTGCCACCCGGTGAGGCGCTCCTGGCCCCTCCTTCCTTTGCAGGTGTGGGGGGGAGGCGAGGCGAGGGGGCCTGTCCCTCCAGACTGCAGGGCTGGGTGGCGGCGAGGATCCCGGCAGATGGGTAATATCCAGTGAGTTGGGAAGGCGGTAGAAGAAGTGAGCAGAGAGGGGCGAGGGAGGAGGAGGAGACGCACACTCGCGCATGTGCCCCAGAAGGCAGGGAGGGAGGAGGGGAGAAGAGAAGGAGGGCGTGTGGGGAAGGGGAGGAGGGAGAGATGGAGGCGCTCTTAGCAGCCAGCCCGGGCACTCCCCATCCCTGCCAGGGTGTCTTTCGCGGCTGCCAGCCTTGTGTGAGTGTGTGTTGGGGGGGCGCTCTGGGGGGGCGTGCCCTCCTCCTCCTCTCCCAAAGACGTGCACACACACCGCCAGCAAACACCTCCAACACCAGCCGCCGCCGAGGAAGCTGTGCCCACCCCTTCTCTCTCCCTCTATAGTTCAGGCGTCCTCACTGATCGTTCTCCACCACCACCTCCCCCCCCGTGCCGACAATGCCCTCTTCTTTTTCTTCTTCGCTTTAAGCCTGATTCCCCTCTGCGCCCTCGGAATAAAGAACCCCCCCCATGGTTTTAGGGGGACGATGACTCCTGAGCTGGGGGGGGGAGGAGGACGGCCCGCCTACTTGTCCACCCGCCAGCCACCGCCTCTGTGCTTCCTGCTCCCTGCGTGAGCCTCCTCCCAGCCTGCCCCCAGCGGAGTGGTCTCCAGGCCCCGCCGGGAGGTTGGCCCCTGCGCTCGCCTAGAGCGCAGGACAACCTCGGGCCGGCCCTGTTAAGAGGATGAATGATGAGATTTTAAGTCATCTTTTACTCTCCTCCCCATCACTAATATGGGGATAACAATAGTGGCCTATCTGATAGGGCCATTCAAGGATTCCTGGGACAATATATATGAGGTAGTTTCAACACTCAGAAAAAGTGCTGTATAAATATTTATTATTATTTATAAAATCCCCTGAGCTTTCACTGCTTAAGGCTTTAGCTATTGGATATCCGTCTTAAGTTACAGCTTCATTCTCCTTTCAGAACGTTGGTCTAAGAGCCTTTGAAACTCAGCTCCCCCCCCCCCCTTAAAATCCTCTTATAATTTCATTCTCTTCATTCATATGATCCAATATTGACAAAGGATCTGCTCCAATTCCACTCGTTCTCTCACTAGTTTCCAAGTGCAGCCAGAAATCTATTTAATCTTCATGTCCTGCATACCCAAACTAGTTCTTTTCAGTTTGTTCTGTCCTGCATTTAGTTACTGAATTGTCATCCGCTCTGATTTTCCCTAAAGGCACTGTTGTAAAACCTCACAGACCTCACCAAAGGGCTAAATTTAGGATCCATGATGGTGCAAAGAGCCTGTACGTGCACATACTGACAGCCCCTGTACCTGCATTGCCACGCCTTCTTCCCAGTTAGAACATCCGAAAGGGGCTAGTCTTGAGGCCAAGACAGAATTGTGAGTGCATGACTGAGAGCAGGAATCTTCTTTCTGCCATTCTTCCAGGATAGGCGAAATGAAAAAGTCAGCTGCAGGCCCAGTTCTAAAGGCACAGTACACTTTTGCCAGAGAATTTGGTTGGTTTTTACTGATCGCCATGACTTGTCAGTGGAAAGTTATTTCCAACCCTTGAATACCAAGCTAAAATCTTATCGTTTATTCCATTCAACCAGGGATGCTTCCACAGTGGGGTAGGAAAAGGTGCCCCTGCTGTGGAAGCATCAACAAGTGGCATTTAAGCAGGCGGGAGTGGCAACTCAACTGCATGAAGCTCACCGCTGACAAATGACTGAGAGAAGGCCCTTTATGGTTTGTGCTATTTCTCAGCAATTTCTCCCTGTTTTGAAGTGGAAACATTCGGTCTGTTCCATGGTGCCTCGTAAGATACACAAAATCTTCAAAATTATCAATTTCTCTCTCATTTAATGGTAACATGGCTAGTTTCTATTACTTCAGCTATCAAAGAGAAGAAGGCACATCTCTCCGTTGGAGAGACCAGGGCCTCCTGCAACCTCCAATGGCACAGATGTAGCTTCCCCATGTCTCCCTCCCACGCCTCCCTCCCCTAGCCAGCAGGGAAGGCAATGAGTTGGCGGGAATCACCCCTTTTATTAGCTCTGCCCACATGTTGTCAAGCTTTCAAACATTCCTGCAGCGGAAGGGGAGAAAGCCCCAGGGAGCTGCTCTTACGCTGCCGCAGTAATGTCTGAAGGCCTCCCATTGTCAAGGCTGATTGGGCCCAGTTGGGATGGCTGGGACAAGAAATGAACAGCTAATACGGTCTGGAATTGCCTCGTATCCCTTGCGGGTTGATTTAAAATGCCCACGGGTTTTAAAGACTTTCTCCTTCGTGAAAAATGACATCTAAAATGCAGGCACTGAGCACCCTAATGCTCTCAAGGATTCCAGTCAAGCACAGGAACCTGTGAATAGAAGCCAACTCCTGCTCGCAAGCCACCCTTGCTGATCTCAGTCTGTTTGTGAACAGCCCCCCCCCCCAACCCGGATTTGGCCATTTCCTGTTATGTTTCTGAAATCCAACAACCTCTCATCTTTTCCTGCTCATCCCATGCAATTGTTATTTGAACACTCACTCTGTTTGAGATTTTCTTTCTAATTTGCAGGCCAGGGTTATCGAGATCCTTTAGAGCTCTTGTTAGAAGTGTCAGATAAGATGATATAAAACTTTGTGCAATAAAGCTGACATTTTTGTGACCCATTGAGCATTTAAAATATATCCTTATTAAAGAGGTACTTATGGGAGTTTCATATATATTAAGAACATTCATATTGTGGAAGCATTTAAATATATTACTACCCCCACTGCTTTTTCATAGGAGGAGTGACTTGGGAGGGCTGTAGATTTGAATGGCTTGGGACCAGTGTTCCCACAGTTTTTTAGCCTCCGGCTCACACATTTTTGTCTTAGCTCAGGAAGGATGGCTCCAGAGCAAACTAATTTACGCTAGTGGCCAAGTCGCTCGCTCACAACTTTAATGCCAGCAGCTCACAAAATAGAATTTTTGCTCACAAGACTCCACAGCTTAGAGGGAGCATTGCCTGGGACTCAATGTTTGTACAATCAAATCCAGTAAAACATAAATGTGTATTTTTAATTTCCCTCCACCTTAGGCCCTAGGGCCAAATCATTTTCAGATTCTCTTAAATAAGTCTGTTTTCTGATTTAACTGATAGGTCCCAGATAGAAGTTACCCCAGACCTAACTCTCAGTTTTAGCTAAGTGGTAGAACACATGAAGACCACCCCGGGTTCAGTGCCTGGAATGCTTCTGTTAAAAGGCTGGGAAAGACCTCGCTTGTGGCTGGAACTGCACAGCCAGGTCCATTTACCTACCCCCATGAGCCACTTCTCTGCTACAGAGCCACATCAGGAGGGAGTAGCTGGAAAGTGAAGAGCAGCTGGTGTGAGCGGTGGGTGCTTCTTCCCCGCCCCCCCCCGCCCCCCCGGCCGCAAGTCTGTGGCTCCAGACCCATGCGCATTCATTGCAAACATGCTTCATCAGCTCCCCTGTGAGCCATCCCCCCCCCTTCAAGGCTGCTTTGTAGCAGAGGAGCGATGCCAGGGGGTTGGGAATGCAACTGAGCTGACCACGTAATTTGCAGTCCTTGGGGAGCTGCAGCCAGTTAAGACTGGAGGCTGGGTGGCTGGTGGATCAATGCTCTGGCTCCACATAAAGGCCACGCTGTACATTTGCAGTAAATTCACTCTTTATAAATTCATAATGTTCATGATTGTAACCCACCTTGGCTGCTTCATAAGCTGAGACTGTGAACTGCAAATATTCTAAATTAGCAGACAGGCAATTAGCAGCAAGGCCATCCACTTGGCCCAGGTTTGACCAGATCGTTCTGAATGTCAGTCTCAAAACCCTTTTTTAAAATGTTTGTCCTTCTCACCATTGTTTTTACCTTGGCAGCCTCAAACTCTTCTTGGGACTTCTGTATTTTGCTCAGACTTCAGCCCTTTTTTCTTTCACGGGCAAATGTACGGTTTCCCTGTTTATCTTTCTGTCCAGTGACCAACGGTTGGTGATTAGTAATTATCCACCCCACCCAACCCTCTGGAAACTTTCAGGCAAATAACAAAAAATTAGAGGAGGAAGAGGACCCCTGTTTCCACCTTGCTCACAAATTTTAAAAGTGCCCTGATGTTTGAAATTATCTTTATAGTTGCAGAGGAAATTTGATGCCAGATCATTAGTGTGTTCTGCAAAAGTTAAGAAAAGAACCTCTCTACCTCTGTCTTGTGTGTACTGTGACTTTCTTTCAACTTATGACTCGTAATTTTTTGAACATTTAGGGTTGGCAACTCTGCGACCCCCCAGTTTCTAACGCTGCCCCCTGTGTTCGCTCCTAGTTACGGCAGAGTTTATGCAGCTGCAGACCCCTACCATCACACCATCGGCCCTGCTGCCACCTACAGCATTGGCACCATGGTAAGAGCCACTCCCTTCCTCCTGCTCCGGGTGTGCGTCTGTGCGTCTGTGTGGTCTGGGAAGTGTGCCTGCTTGGGGGGTCAGTGAAGTCCCTGAGAGTAAAGGGGATGGTACTGGGATGCCTCTGGGAGCGCCGTACACTCGTTCTGCCGTTGCTCCCTCATGGTCTGGGCTCCACCAGGGAAGGAAGCCAAAGAAGTGCAGGATAAAAAACCCAAAAGAGAAGAAGCTCGCAAACAGGGCCTGACACAGACCCTTCTGCCTTCACAGCCCGGTGGGAAAAGCACTCAGAGACGCACACTTGGAGGTGACACAGGGCACATAAGCTGGCTTCCTAGAAACTAGCTGCCTTGCTCCATAGAAAATTACCTGACCACTTGTTTAGGTGGATATGATCATTTTTCTCAGAAACATATGTCTTTTCTTTTTCAAGGAGCAGAGAATTCTCACCTAGAGAACTGTAGTAGGTTATGTGTGCACACGCACACAGGTGCGCAGCCAGTGTCTTCTCTTGCCCTTCCCAATCTTGCACACACCGTCACATTCTAGTTCTTGCAGTGATGCCTCCCTGCAAGCAGCTATAGATACAGCATCAAAGAGGAGAAACGTCCAAGCCATCCTGCAATCCTTTTTGCTCTTACAAATCTTCCTCAATGCCTCTCCTGGGACCACCCACTAGCTCTCCCATTGGTGTCAGTGCCTTCCTGTCGATAAACCAAAAAAATGGCATGTAGCAGTAATCTCAGAGGCTTATCAATTGGGTTCAACTGTCATTGCTTTGGTTGGGGGACATTGGGGAGAGGGGAAGGATTCTGGGCTGCATTAGAGGAAACCGAGGCTTGAAGGCCAGCCATCTATCCTGTAATGGTTCGCAGGAAACAGGTAGACACCCGTTTCAAAACCTTTTTTCCCCTAAGAAATTACATTGGCACTGCGATTTATCCGCCATTATCTGGAATTCCTTTGAATCCTGGCCCAAAGCAGTTTTGCATGCTAAGAATTCAGTCCGCCCACTCCCACTCGGCCGCCAGCACAAAATCGGGCCGCTTGCCAGCCTGAGGTCCTGAGGGACCGCTCTACTGGCCGAAATGACAGGGCAGGGATGGGCTGTGCCTCTCCTTTATACTGATTGGCTTTTTCTCCGTCTTTGATGTTGCAGGCTAGTCTATACCGAGGAGGGTACAGCCGCTTCACTCCCTACTAGCAAGACAGACCCAGCCCCTCCTCACAATAATAACACTGACTGCTCCTTAGAAACCAAACCAAAATCAAATGGACATGGGGCGCCCTGCCCCATGCTGCTGGCCCTCGGCAGCCTAAACCACATATCTCTTTACCTCAAGCCGCCTTCCCACGCCTCACATCCCAACGGCCTCTGATGGTGCACAGCCAAGTTTTATTTCCATTTTCAAAGCAACCAGCCAGGGGGTTGGGACAGGTACCTGCTTTCACCAGTCATAGCCCCCAGCGAGCAGAGCCTCAAAGAGAACATTCCCAGAGCCCGTCCTGCTTTCCTGTCACGCCCCATATTCTAGGAGTCCTTGGTGGGACATGGTTGCGCACAGGAGAGCTCCCACCCCACCCCTCCCCACCCAGTAAAGCATCCTGCATTGTGCTGGGTGTCCCAGTCTTACACATCTCAAGAGACAGGGAGAGGATACAGTTTAAAAGACCTCAGGCTCTTCTCCCCCTCAGGCAGACATTGCCCATTCTCTTCACTCTCTCCCGAGAAGGAACATCAGTGCTGCTAGCATTAGGGTAGGCCAGGCGGGCAGGACTGCCACCCTAGAATACGAAGACCCACAGGTTCTAACCCCGCCCTATCCTGCTTAGGTGTGCTCAGTCTCCAAGCAACAGCAGGGAGGGTTCTCCCCCATCCCTTTCTGTCCTCCCCCACCCTAATCCAGGAGTGGTATCCTCGGGAGGGATGAGCGATGGGGCTTTTGCCACTAAGCATGCCTTGGTGTGGGGGCCGGAGAGCATCCTGCACCCCCTGGGATCAGTGTCACCCCAGAAGTGATAGCAAGGGGAAGGGGGTTCCCTCTAGGACTCCACTCTAGGCTCAGCAAAGGGGCTTAACAGCAGGATGAAGGAGCTGGCTGGGAACAGCCCCTGAGTGGGCTGAATGATCCTGGCTCCTCTGTCAGTTCTGTAGGGGAGGTGGCGCAGCCCCACTCTTCTAGGCAAGACTGGCACAGGCTTTCTGTACAGCAGGGGAACTGGAGGGGAGGGCATCCGTGCAGAGATAGGAGGTGGGACGTGGCGGAGGGTCACAGGGGGCTGAGTGCCAGTGCCCCCCTTCCCAGCCCTGATGCTTCCCAGCACACGCCAGAGAGCACAGAGCTCTTCCCCCGCCTCCTGCTGCAGCACTCTTCCCCCAGGCCCCTGCCTGCAGGTTGCTCCATGGAACGTTCTACCTTTGTTTTCTGTTGTAGTGAAACCTTCAGCTGTTTCCTTCTGGGACCAGGAAGGGCACAAAAAAATATTTTTTTTAAGCAAAGCAACAAAACAATGACAAAACTAACGAGCCAAGCGACTGAGTGAAAGCCCCCTTCTGTCCACACATGCGCCCCAAGCGACAGGCCACCCGGAGCGCAAGCACCGACCGACCCAACTGGACGGAGGGACGGCAGCTGCCCACGTACTCTGCAAAGCTGTCCACAGCGGGAGATCCGTGCCCTGCTCCCCTGCTGCAGACCACACGGGGCCAGGAGGGACAGGCGCTGAAACAGGACTCTGCAGGCCCCAAGGCCACCATGTCTTCCTTCCAGCCCTCCTGAAGAACGGCGGCTCTCCCATATGCTGCGGATTACGCCATGAGTGCACCTGCAGGGCTAGCAATCCTGCTTCTTGCTTCCCAGAACCTCCCAATGCTTTTTGTGCTTTGCTGGTTCATCCATTTGTCAAGCTGGCAAGGCCTTGGATTCCAAGGCAGCACAAGGCCAGGCCAGGGGCTTTTGGGAGCAGCCACCCTGTTCCAGTGAGTAGGAATCTTGGGTTTCAGAGGGTTGGTTCCCCCCCTCCTCCTTCGTAGAGATTGCACTTTGCCCTCCACCTGAGGCTCCCAGCGGGTCTCGGCTTATACAACGAAGAGACACCTGAGAGCATCCAGGCCTTGCGCCTGGACCCCCAATCTGCCAGGCGGCTCCAAGCCTGCTCCCAAGGGCCCAGAGATGCCACATGCCCATTCACAGTGCCCTGGGGCAAGCACATCTTAAGGACTGCATGGCCAAGACAGTGGGAAGAGCCAGGGCCCCATGGTGGCAGCAGGAAGTAAGGCAGGCCAGGGTGCTAGGAGAAAGAACCATTTGCTGCACAAACCGAGCAAATGTCCGCTGGCCCAAGTCCCCCCTTGCTGGTGCCGCTGGCACTCTGCTCATCAGCGTCCTCCTTGCCATGGGCTTTGGTGGGAGGGAGTGCATCTGCCCTGTGGCCCGTTTCCCTTCCCCACCCCAGGGCCAGATGGACTCAGGGCCTCCCCCTTGCCCCTGACCCCACCTCGGCTTATTCATCTCATCAAACCTCACTTTCTATTCAGCATTAAAGCTCCTGACACGCCAGCAACCAGATGATCCTCCTTTTCTATTCCCGTTGTACATAGCCCCCTCCTTTCCCATCCCCCCCCGCCCTTGTATAAAGCTCCTCCCATTTGCTGTGTGGGCTCCCACCCTGGGAGCATCGGCCACCCCACCCCATTCTGTATGCTTCGAAGGTGTGACCATTCAGATAAACAGTACTATTGTTAATTATTATTTATTGATTATTAAGATTATTAATAAAGGTTTCTTTCTTCAACCAGGATGGCTCAAGATTGTGATTTGGGTGCTGTGGACGATAAAAGTTACAGATGGGGAGTAATTTGGGAATATGATCCCCAAGTCGAACATTTTTTAAGCACAGTGCCTCTTTGCCCAGAGTGGTCTCAAGTGAGAGCCAGTGCGTAGAAAGAAAGGTGTTGCATCTGTGCCTCAAAGGGATCCCATGCAGACGAAAGACCACTGTCGAGGTTCTCCTTCATATCAGGTTTGCGAGGCATGTCTGGCGGCCCCCCTCTATTCTGCACACAGTTCACGCACCACATATGGGTGCCTGCTACCAAGCAGTCAGCAGGCCAATGAGTGGGGCTGGTAGGCTCTGTTCACCTTGCTCACTCACAGGTTGTGCAGGCCTGCTGTGTGGCTCCTTCCGTAGCAGGTAAACATCATGTCTCATTTCATCCGAGTGAGTTTTAAACGACTGGCAAATAAGTCTATTAAAACATTTACTATGTTAAGAAAAAGGTTTTAAAAAATTCTCCGTTCACCTTTCCCTCCACCCTTGGGCCACTTATATGGAGCTTCCCCCATCCTAGGTTCCAGTTTTGTTCTTCAGTGACTAAAGCCAACGATCCCCCCCCCCTTTTACAGTGAGGTGATGAGAACAGCACACAAACCTCAAGGCGATACACATACAGTGGTTGTGCAGAAACTCCTTGTCCTGTATTTTGTCAGCCATCCCTTTCAAACAAATGTTTTCTGCAAGCATGAGACAGAACAGGAAACATGGGACTGTAAGAACAATTTTGGGGCTGCAAAAGGTAGGGCTGAAGACAGTGGCAGCAACGGTGGTAGGAACTCAGGGTGAACACACACACACACACACACACCGCATATACACACACCCCAACACCACTGACGCTCACGTTGGAGGTGAGCATTTCATGATTAAAGCCATGTGCCAGGCCTGGCATTCTTCAAAATGTCAGTTTGTTGATCTTGCTGCAATCGTGCCCACCTCAGGAGCAATGGCAGTGTAAATGTTGACATATCAATTCCCTCAGCCTCAGGCCATTGCCGTGTGTACGGACAGGGCCCAGGCAGCAAGGGAGCCGAGATCCCTGTGCGTGCCATGCTTGGCCAAACTCCCTGCTGCTAATTGTCTGCATGCCAGACCACGAAAGAATAATTGCCATTATCACTTCTATTGCCAGCTATGCATCACAGGTTCAGGGAGGGGTGTGTGTGCAGGAGAGGCAGGGGTGACTGTAGAAATTATGCAAAAAGCAAGACAGTAGGATTGCCTCTACTCACACAGAGGCAATCGATCTATCCTGTGAAGGGACAGGATACTGTTACTACCTTACTCCAGGTCAGTGCCTGGCAGAGATGAACTGGAAAAGGGAAATTTACAAATGGAAGGCTATAGCTCTAGACTAACCCTCATGCCAGGTCCCCTCCTCTTTGGTCTCCCCATCAGGTTCGCTGTGCAACAACATCCATTCCCTGCACTATGGATTTTATTTCCCTGCACTACACTGTTGAACACACTCATTTGCTCCGCAAGCCAGGAGGACTCTGTGTCAACTATTTGTCATAGTTTATTTTCTGTAAAAGCCTGCAGCATTTTCCCAGCCCTGAACAAAGGTATTTATTTTAAACATGTACTAGTCATCTGTCTTCCTTATGCAGCTTAAGGTGGCTTACGTAGATAAAACACTTTAAAAACATAAAACCAAAAATATAAAGTCACTACTAAGGCCTGCTACTCAACTCAACCAAAATGTAGTCCAAAACAAAACCATCTTCAAAGAAGTGAGGGAGCCAGGCACACCTGCCTGGGGAGGCTTCTCCATAATGATGGGGCTGCCACTGAAAAGGCCCTTTCTTTTGTACTCACCAAATGAGCTTTGATTGAGGAAACAGTCTCCTGTGATCTTAATTCCCAGGCAGGACCCTGTCAGGGAAGACAGTCCTTCAGCTAACCCAGTCCCAAGCCACAGTGGACTTTAAAGTGCAAAGGAGGCTTAGGCAGGGCTTCAGAAAAATGACTCAATGGGGGTGGGGGGGAGAGAGGTAGCAAGAAAGGCCAGTGCAGTGCACAGGGGAACCTAAAGTAGTCACAGCAGTTTTATGTGACTTGCTTAAAAGGAGATGAGAAGGCTGAAGCTGCCACATGGTCCTGGCTTTTCATGGCAGTGGGGAGGTGTTTCTATAAATGTGCTCAACAAAAAGAGCCACCCAACGCATGCGGGCCAGTCCCATTAAAAACCATGATAATTTATGGGTTTCTTATCACACTGACAATGGCTGCTCAGGCCAGAAGTACTGGCACAGAATTTAGCCAGATTCTGGACCAGGAATGACTGGTTTGGTCTTATCAAGGTGGGCAGTCTGAATTCTCCTCAGTACTTCAGCACAGAAGGCTGAGGGCCCCACAGCAGTCAGA